AGGTAGCTTAGAGCTTTTATTCCTTGCATACCATTGAAATTCACATTAAACACTGGTTCTAGCATCTTTATATTAAAATAACGCACTATAACATTACCTACTATTTCAATCTAAGGGATGGCAAGTCCAAACACTTGTATTAGTCCTTAACCAGCATCAAGGAACCTTACTTGAGGGAACCACTATATGCCTAATCTTCAAGCAGTGTGTGTGTGTATTCAGTTTCTGGAACTTCTTGTGATCAGAGCAACAAACATGCAAACTCCTCTTTATGTTGTGCAGTTCAGGCCCTTCCAACCTTGTTCACCCTTTTTTGACAATTTTCCAGTGCTGTTCCACTGACCTTGTGAGTGACAACATATTTTGCAGTAGAGAGAAAAAAAAAAACTTGTGTAATGAAACTAATAATGTCCCTAGCTTATTCCCCCTTCATCACTTGTGCTTTTAGGAAATGGTACAGGTTGACACGTTTAAAAAAAAATTTAATTTCTGACCTCAATGCCCTAACTAGCTGCCCTAAATTGTTAAGTCATTAAATGAGGACTGGCATAACTACTGTACTACTATAATCATGGGACCTTTTAATGGAGGTGCTTTGATGCTGAAGGGCTCTTGATTCATATTATAATCAAAACCAAGTGCTAAACCCACTAGGGTCATACAGTGCTGCAGAGCAGGGGGCTGCTGGATCACAGAGTAGCAAAGGTGGAGAGGAGAACAGAGGTAGAGATAGAAAGGGCTGTAAGGAGTGCTAAAGGAAGTATTATCAATGTCTGTGAAATAAATCAGTTGCTGTCAAAGTCAAAGAGGTAGTCTCAATCAAAATGTGGGGTTGTCAGCAAGGAGATGAGATAAATTAAGGGTGTTAGAGTGGTGAAAACATCAGAAGTAAATTTTGCATGCTTGTTGACAGACAGGACAGTCAAATAGAATATGGACAACTGAAATTGGAACCTGACAATTCTCACAGAGTAGAACAGGGTGCCTCTCTGAGATATCCACGAGTAAGACGGGTGTGCCCGATGCGAAGATGGGAGAGCGTAGTCTCCCAACCTTGGCATCAATGACAAGGTCAGAAACCTAAACTTGGCTTGATGGAATATACAGTAGGGCCCCGCTTTATGGCATTCCGCTAATGTGGACATTTCAAATTATGACCAAAATTCGCTATACGGCTCCTCCACCCGACTTTCTAATACAGTCACTGCGCCCCACCCGGTTTGTTTACGTTCTCCACGAGCTCCGTAAGCACCACGTCTCGCCATTATGTCTGGAAACTCCAAAATTTAAAGTGTTTTTAAGAGTTATTTCATATTTAATATATACTCTGATAATTATACTTATGTACATATACCTGTACCTAAATAAACTTACACATTGTGCTGACATGCAGGTACACATTAAAACCACTAAGAGTGTCTTATGTCTCGAGACACCATAATAGTAATAATAATAATAATAATAATAATAATAATAATAATAATAATCACTAAGTCTCATTAAATGTCGTATATTACGTTAATATACACATTTTCATTAATCCATCTATGATTTTTTTCAAAATTATATAATAAACAAGATAAGTAACATATAACATGATAAATACACCCCACAGTAGAATAAATAAACAAATATGAGATGTAGTAACCAGACTACTTGTACAAGTGATGGCAAGAATAACATTTTTCTCTAGTCCAACATAAGAGAAAATGTGTTACTGGGAGTAACCGTAGAGAATTATTCCTTTCGTATTCCTTCACTCAGAGCATCATTTCTTCTAAAAATGGTGTTACATGAGAATGGGAGTGTTCCTCTTTATTTATTCTACCATATCAATGTAAAGACAACTTGTACACAATGTAATTTGTACACAAACCAGACATCTTCGCCTGGTTTGTTTACAAAACTCGCACCCGCATGGAATGTTTACATAATTCCGCACCTGTCCTCTCTCATGTACTCATTCTCTCTCTCATTTATTCGTTTTATCTCGTTTATTCACCCCTGACCCTACATTAAGACTACAAATATTTTAAGATAAGTAATGAGTGAACTGTATATGCCTTTTATTGCTCTGGGATGCTTAAATGTCATAGAATATTACTTACTTGCCTGGTGTGGTAGCCTGGCTGGCTACCATACATACCACACTTGATTTCTTACAATAAATACTACTCATCTCACCCTAGATTAAGACTACAAATATTTTAAGGTAAGTAATGAGTGTACTATATGTGTATTTTACTTTTTCATTGTTTTTTAATGTCTAGTTCTATTGCTAACTTAATATAGTATGTTAGTGTTAACGTGTTATCTAGTATTTCTATTCATTTATAAGTGGAAAAAAAGGGTGTTCCACTTTAAGGTGATTTCTGCTTTACGGTGGTAGCCCGGAACCTAACCTGCCATACAAGTGGGTCCCTACTGTAATCTGTCACTAGTCATATCGGACCAACGTTGTTGCCAAAGATTGCAAAGGTGGTTAGAGATTACAGCAAAATAGTCTGAGAATGGAATACCTCTACATGAAACTGAGAGGTGATGCACCGCTGACCGTGCAGCAGAGTCCGCCTGCTCATTGCCCTGACCATCAACATGACCAGGGACCCAGCAGAAAAATTTTTGTTAGAAATGCGGCACAACCAAAGTTGTATACGAAGAACCAGGGCATGAGGGGAATCAAATTTTTTAATAAGCTTGCAAAACACTAAAGGAGTCTGAGACTACTACAAATGTTGAGGTAGGCATAGATGCAATATGGATAATTGCAACAAAAACTGCATACAGTTCAGCTGTAAAAATGCTAGCCAAGTCTAATAAATGACCTCACATAACGTTGTCCAGGAACACTGCTGCAACCCCAACACATTCAAGAGGATTTAGAACCATCAGTGTACATTGCATTGGCATGAGAATGCGACTGGACGTGGTTGAGAAAATGGGAGCAAGAAGCAACTGCAAGTATCTGAGCTTTTGGGCATGGCAGTGGGGAGAACAGACATGAACTGTCGGAACCTTCCATGGAAGGAGAGAGAAGTTAGATGCTAGATGAACATATAAAACTGTTTGTACTTAGCAAACCAAAATTATAATTATACAGTGGACCCCCGGTTAATGATATTTTTTCATTCCAGAAGTATGTTCAGGTGCCAGTACTGACTGAATTTGTTCCCATAAGGAATATTGTGAAGTAGATTAGTCCATTTCAGACCCCCAAACATACATGTACAAACGCACTTACATAAATACACTTACATAATTGGTCGCATTGGGAGGTGATCGTTATGCGGGGGTCCACTGTACATTGTAACCTTTACAAAAAAATAAAATCTATCTTTATCTTTAGGGGGAAGGGGAAGAGAAGTTAAGAGCGAGTGAAGCCGAAAAGAAAAGGGACGGAGTAAATGGGCGATGAACAAATAATGAACTGCTACTAACGTCTGTTGCTATCCTGTATGTAGAAGGATCGTGGTCATGAGAACGGACAAAATAATGGAGGAAATGGGCATCACAGCGATCATTCAAGGATGGAACATTTGCCTCTGCATATAGGCTCATGACAGGTGAGGAGTGAAAAGCAACTAGACATAAATGTAATCCCTGATGATGGATGGGAGCAAGCTTAGAAAGAGCTGTGGGAGAGGCTGCAAAATAGATCTGGTTGCCATAGTCTAGTTTTGATAAATTAGGGTTGAATGCAATCTAAGAAGAGTCTGATGATCTGCTCCCCATGAAAGATGTGCAAAGGTTTTAAGGGGGGTTCAGCCAACTATGGCAAGTTGCTTTCAGGAAGTAATGCGAGGCTTCCTGGACAGCCGGTGATCAAACAGAAGGTCGAGAAATCTGACTATCGTGTTCAGAGATACAGAAGCCATACAGAGTACAAAGGAGTATCAGAGACTATAGAATGTCTGGTGAAAGTAATTTGGTGCATTTTAGCACCAGAAATTTAAACCCATAAGTAGTGGCCCAATGTGAAACACTGTTGACAGCATTCTGTCAACAGGGCAGCAGTCAGCACCAGTACAAGCTATAGCGAAGTCATCAACATGAAGTGATGACAAAATATTAGATGGAAGAACAAAAGCCAGATCATTTATAACTAGTAGAAAAAGAGTGGTATGTACTAGGTACACATCCCTGAGGGACACCTTCAGCTTGTACAAAGTCTGGGAAAGCAAATTATTAACCCAAACATGGAAATGTCCTCAGATAAGAAGTTTTTAAGGAAAATTGGAAGAATGCCTCGGAGGCCTAAGGAATGAGCTTGGGCCAAGATGTTATATCTCCAAGTAGTGTCATATGTCTTGATCCATAGAACTGTAACCACTTTCCCTTTCTTTGGATTGAATCTGACGGCTTCCCATTAACTGGCACTGTATAACCCGAGTTTAACACCCCCTTTCCCCTCTTCCCATGATGTAATAACAGTCATGGGGAAGTACTAAAACTTTAGGGGTTACAGCATCTGAGGAATGGCAGGTAACCATATTTGACCCAAGTAAAGATAGGGTACCTTCAATTCTTTGTATCAAGAGGCAATCAATAGCATCAGAGTACCTCTCTTGAGTTCTTAATTGATATTTTTCTTACCACAACTATGGCTTTTCTTTCACACAGGTCACCCTCAACACTTCAACCCCCTAATGTCATCACCTCTGTCATGCAGCAGTGAATGACCCATATGGATTTAGTGTATCTTTGTGAATATAATACTGTAGTACTAATTAAATTTATATTTCAGTTATTCTCCATGGGGAAGTGGAACAGAATTCTTCCTCCGTAGGCCATGCGTGTCGTAAGAGGCGACTAAAATGCCAGGAGCAAGGGGCTAGTAACCCCTTCTCCTGTATATATTACTAAATTTAAAAGGAGAAACTTTCATTTTTCCTTTTGGGCCACCCCGCCTCGGTGGGATACAGCTGGTATGTTGAAAGAAGATTTCAGTTATGTGAATAAACTAATAGTTCAAATCTGTTCCTAAAAATCACACCACTGAAGATAGCTTATAAATCTTTTATTACATTACATTTAATATCACTTAAATCTGCTACATCTCTATTAGCAGGTAAATTAAAAGTCACTTCGGTTAACTCAGGACTATATGCAAAAACTATATTTGATACCGAGGAGTACTAGATAGACAAATTTACAATTTTAACACCTACTATAAAAGAAAAATAAACCGGCATCTCTTCATATACTGCATATAATCTTTAACATTAACAAGGAACTAACATCAATACTGTTAATTAGGCTGCATATTTAAGTAAAACTAACAAAACCCAGACATTGTGATTAAAAAAAAGTGATAAGCAATACCAATTTGGCATTTTTTTTAAAATGGCCAGAGTACATAATCCTATTTTTTCCTTAAAAGTAATTGAATAGCTGGTAGAATCCAACTTTGGTTTTGAAGACTAGCCATAAACAGCAGCACAGTTAATAAAAAAAACCTAGAAAGAGAATTTGGCTTTGAAATGGAAGAGCCTGTTTATCAATCATTTATATTTGGACAAACTCAGAACTAATAGTACCAACATACCTTAAAATTTTACGAATACTGTACATGCAACAATCTTGAATTTCGCATTTTTTTCGTCAGGACAATACAACAGTAGAAAGTATGAATATGCGAGTAAAGTCCCATGTATGGTCATCAATCCATTTAAAACACTCTTTGATCTACAACAACAAATGCAAAAGCACTGGATGAGCATAGTGTTAATGCTGTAAGTGAAAGGAAGGAATGAAAGCATTACATTTTACATTGCACAAGTGTTTGGTTCTCTAAGTATGTGTGTTCTTTAACTGGTGTCTAAGCCATCTCTTGAAGCTTCACCTATGTAAACTAGATCTCAATCTTTATAACTAATCTTACAAACACCAGAAATACTGGCATAATTATTCTTGATCTGAACTACGTTAATGAATTTAGTGCCTAGCAAACTATTTAAAACAAAATAGTTTACAGTTCTTTTAATATGACTCAAAACATGAAGATCTATATTATTATTTTATTATAAAAAAAAAAACAGTATCAAGCCTGTGTTGGTCATAGTGCACGGATATGTATTATCATCAAGGGTTAAAGCACTTTAATGCCTGAGAAGCAATCAGGTTATATCCAAGGAAAGGGAGGACAGGTCAAATACCTTGGATCAGCGATCCTTCATGAGCATTAAGGCCCCTCCATTGCAGGGACCAGGATCTGTAGACTCTTGGTTCTGATGTCTGTAAAAACACTAACTACTCTTTGTTTATCCACTTTCCTCTATCCTTCCTCTGATAGTGTCATAAATTAAAACTCAAGATAAAATATAACTACAAGAAACCAACGGCTATTACACAACTATGGAGATGCTGTATACAATAGGGCCCCGCTTTACGGCGTTTCGCCTTACGGTGTTCCGCTAATACAGCGATTTCAAATTATGACAAATTTGCTATATGGCAAGCGGTCTTTCAAATATGGCGTGCCCCACCTGGTGTGTTTACATTCTCCATGAGCACATCTATTATGTCTGGAAACTTTCCAAAATTTCAAGTGTTTAAAAGTTATTGCGTATTTTATATGTACTACTCTGATAATTATGCTTATGTGTACCTGTACCTAAATATACTTACACACTGTGCTGGAGTGTGGGTATACATTAAAATCACTAAGTCTCTATACTCATGATGCCATAGTAATACAACGTAATAATAATCTCTCCTGGGCACATTAAATGTCTTATTTTACATCAATATAGACATTTTCATTAATCCATCTGTGATATTTTCTTCAAAATTATGTAAGAAACATGTTACATAGCATATAAACATTATACATACACCCACAGAATAAAAATCGACAAATATAAGATTTGTTTACAAAGCAGCTTTGTAGGTGTGTATGAAGAATTACGTTTCCTCTAGTCAAACACTAGGGGATAACTTTAAATATTCCTTTCGTATGCCTTCTCTATATATAGCAATTCACGATCCTTGTGGGTTTAGTGCTTTTTTATTATGATTATAATAATTTGTAATAAATAATAATTTGTCAGAACATCATTCCTTCTAAAAATTACATGAGAATGGAAGTGTTAGTCTTTATTTATTCTACTGTACCACTGTGGAGACAACTTGTAAACAATGTAAGGTGTTTTATATAATGTTTATTAACCATAATCAGATGCATCGTCTGTCTGTTTACACAGTGGGTGGGGTGGCCAGGCTGGCTTCCTTACCTACCACACAACTTTCTACAAATAAATACTTTTCACCTTTCACCAGGAGGGCTACCACACCTAACTTCTTACAGTAAATACTACTCACCTTTTGCCCTACATTAAGACTACGAATATTTTGAGGTAAATAATGAGTGTACTGTGTGTGCATTTTACTTTTTATTGTTTTTAATAACTACTTAATGCATGTTAGTGTAAACTTGTTATCTGGCATTTATATGCACTTATAGTGGAAAAATGGCGTTCTGCTTTCCGGCAGTAGCATGGAACCTAACCTGCTGTATAAGTGGGGCCCTACTGTATATTATAAACCCTATACCAGCCCCCCATCATTCAAAAGTAATCTTTCATCTCTAAATGTTCATCATTTTTTAATCTGTTACTATTATTGAAGATATGGAAATTTTCTATTGTATTTGCAATGCTTGGTTACTACTGGAATACAATATACTCCTACAAGCATTATCACATTTACTACGTTCACTGGATGGGAGAGAAACCAAGTTTGATTTAAATGTACTGCAGGAAAAAAATTAAGTCACAGATATTCAGACACATTGGCACTTCACATTACCCTACAGCATAGCAAGATCGTGGGAAACCACCCACAGAAGCACCTCTGCACAGCCATCTTTTAATACACAAGATAGCATGTATAGAGCTTCTAACAAGAATGATTTCTAAATCAACAGGTATTAACTTACGAATTTATGAATGATACAAGATTGGAGTGTGGCTTCTGTGCATAACTACTGTGGTCTACCAGCTTCCCATCTCCTGAACTGTGCTAAATGAATTTTAATACACTAGAAAAAAAAATGCTTGTAGCAATGCACTAAATTTTACTTGCATTTTTAGTACTATAACTAAAAAAACTTTTAAAAAGGATTCTACAACCACACAAAATGCAAATTTACTTTAACCCTTAAACAGTCCAAACGTATATATACGTTTTTTCAACATCTGAAAGTATGTAAAAAAATGTAGATCTTTTTTGTTTTACATTTGAAAACGTGTAAAAAAAACTTTTATCTACATTTTTTTTATTATATTTGAAAATATGTAAAAAAAAGTAGATCTACTTTTGTAGCACTACGAATTTGACGTCAATCTCTTTGGACCGTTTAAGGGTTAAATGTTGGGTCAAATATTAAGTCCAACAGTTAAGAGTAAAAATTAATATGCAACTATCAGGAAAAAAGTATATAGCTAAGATATCACTGAAAATTTTTAGTAGAGAAATTTTTAATAGTGAAATATAAAAAAGCCAAAAAATTATTCATACCCTTAATGGCATTAATTCAAATTGATTAAGAAGACAACACTGGTATACATTTAGATACAGATTAAATATACAACTACAGTATTTATATAGTCTGTATCAAGAGCACATTAAATACAGTTACATGTAAGTGCAAGATTGTAAATACATGTTCATATTTATTCACACTCTTGCTATCAAATACTCTGCAAATCTACTTTGATAACAAAGTTACTGCTGTCTGCAACCTTCCAATACCACACTGTAAAACATTTTAAAAGGATATTCAGAAACTATGCCATGTAGAACTGCAGCTTCTCCAGACTGCACTGCTTGCCTTGTTAACTTGAGCTTTATCACAGATTTCCTACCACACCCCAGAGCACCCATTCAAGAAAACCAAATTGCTAAAGATGCCTAAAATAATTTAGACAACTTAAAGACATTGATCTGCAGTAAATTTGTGGCATGAATTGCCTGGATATGAACACTTTCCAACATTTAACTATTTTCAACATGCTATTGATACAGATAGAATACAATAGCCACAAAGGGCTACTTTTTTTTGTGTGTGTGTGTGTGTCTGTAGAATAATACCAAATGTATACATGCCTGTAATTTCTTCAAAAATCAACATTGTTATTTTATTGGACAATGAAGAAAAATCAATCCGAGACTTTTATAGAGGACTTATTTAGTGATGCCAGCAGCATGGTGGGGCACAGTTAAACTAGGTGTCTAAGGGCACACATGAAGGCAAGGTAGCCATTAGAGCTACGGTGAACCATGGTAACAATGACTGCTGATTTGACTTGTAGTTTCAGCGAATTCTTAGTTATATGTCAAGTTTATGAATAACTTTGGAGGAAATATAAAAATACTAAAAAGAATCATAATTTAAATAAAGGTAGATATTAAAAGTAGCATTAACCTCATGAGCCTATAAGATGACAAAAATAAATTACACAAATTTTGCACAATAAATTATGCATTTTAATTAGTGTACATGCAGTGAGCAATGCAAGGTAAATTACATATGTAACACCAATCCATGCATGTAAGGCAACAACCTCATGGTTGTGACTTATTGATGAAAAAATTAGTCCTAAACTTGTCATTCCTTTTTATTTAGCATATGCCAAATTACTTGGCTGCCTCATTAGAAAATATGCTTTTTTTTTTTTTTAACAAGTCGGCCATCTCCCACCTAGGCAGGGTGACCCAAAAAGAAAGAAAATATGCTTAGTATAATATTTAAGTAAATGATAGAGAACTGTAATTTATTGCCTTATAAACATTTTAGTACACTTTACATAAGTACTGAGCAATACTAAACAAATACTGTATGAATATATGAATCTTATGCATTTATCAAAACAAAATAATATATTATACAAATAAAAGTTTTTAACTGGATAAGATATCACAAAGTTTTTACACAGAGGAATATCTTTCACTTTCTAAAAGTAATGAAATTGTACAATAACAAATACAGAATCTTAAAAATATAAAATTATGGCCATGGCATTTCAATAAATCTCAGGTCACCTGAATTTTTGACTGAAAGATTGTCATTCGTATTTTAAAATTTTACTAAACAATTTTCACATGAGAACAAAATGAATGTTATACATTATGGAGTATTTTCTCAATAACAATAGAGCCAATCTTAACTTACGTTTAGAAATTTACCTATTTTACTATTGAATATGACTGCAATAACATACATTTGCTACACTCCCTTAGTATAAATCAGATGATTTATCTTGACATATTTGAAAACCACAGTACTGTACTGCATTATGAAATTTAAAAGCCAATCAAAAAGTGTGTTCAAATATAAAGTACCAGTACTAAAGCCTTCCACCAACACAGTACATACATGCCAATACATAATTTAACATTCAGCAAATATATTCATTGGACTTTTGTCCCTTTTTTTTTTTTTTTTGGCAACAACATACAAAATTAATATAACCTTTTACTGGAGTTGCTAAAACTTTTTTCATATCAAGACACTCCTTCTTGATCGTGTCTTCAATGAAAGATTTCATGTTTCGGCAATTTGAACCATGAGCAATGTCAATTAAAATGGAATGAACATTCATCTTCATTTCCCAAAACATTTCTTGGGGCAGTTGTGTCACACAACATTTTGTAATCTGCTCAATCCTGTTAAATGTGAAAGAGGAATTGGACTACTATTACATTCATATCTGCAAAGTGATACATCACATCAAAATACGCATCCATGCTACTGGTAGAGGGTCTGAAAATTTAGCTGAAGTCACGGTTGGTAAGGAGGATGGGAGCCACCAGTGTCCACAAATACAGGAAGAGACAGATCCAGCTGGACACAATCTGAGGGTAAAGATGATCTTCATTACTTCTTAGTCCTGGGAGCAAGGGGATAGTAACCCCTTCTGTGTAAATTACTAAATTTAAAAAAGTTTTCTTTTTAGGTCACCTGCCTCGATGGGACATGGCCGGCATGTTAAAAAAAAAACAAATCCTAGATTACATGGACATACTGTATCATATATAGAACAAAATACATAATTTTGAACCTTCCAAGTCTGTATGCATAAATATGACACAGATAATCATGTACAATATAAATATTTGCCATATTAATAACAATACATATACTACTGTATATTTCATCACTTCATCCAGTGTAAAGCGACCCAAATCAATATCATTATCTATCTTACTAATGAAGGTCCTAACAACTTATACCTGTCACCTACCACATCCCCTAAAATAACCTCCATTATTATTATGGTATACAGTAAAACTCCCTGTACCCAGGGGGTATATGTTCCAAGCCCTACCATGGATAGTAGCAAACACTATATACAAGTTGTTTCTCGTTTACATACATACCTATGAAGTCGAGTTTTAGAGGGTGTAGGGAGGAAGGCTGGAAGCAATGAGAAGGTGTGATGGTAACTATGTGAGTGGCAGTGTTGGTGGGTCAGTGTTGGTGGGCCAGTGTTGGTGGGCCAGTGTTGGTGGGCCAGTGTAGGAGGCAGTGTTGGTGGGCCAGTGTAGGAGGCAGTGTTGGTGGGCCAGTGTGGGAGGCAGTGTTGGTGGGCCAGTGTGGGAGGCAGTGTTGGTGGGCCAGTGTGGGAGGCAGTGTTGGTGGGCCAGTGTGGGAGGCAGTGTTGGTGGCCCAGTGTGGGAGGCAGTGTTGGTGGCCCAGTGTGGGAGGCAGTGTTGGTGGCCCAGTGTGGGAGGCAGTGTTGGTGGCCCAGTGTGGGAGGCAGTGGGGCTGTGAGGGCTAGAAGCTATGGGGAAATGGTAAATGAAATCATGAGTAAGGTGTACAGCCATGTGGGCTTGATGGCATGGGACAGGGGTGTGAGCAGAGAGAATTGTTGCTGGGTGTTCAGTGAGGGCATGGAAATGGGGGGAGGGGGGAATGAACATTTAGTGTGGGCAGAGTTGTGTGCCTGAGGTGGCACTGGATGCATATATCTGTATCAGACGTATCTAAACTGTCTCCAGCATTAATGAACCTCAGCTTTTCCTTGTGTGTGATAATCTCCCACTTCGTAACATACCCAATGTTGATTTTAATATATTAAAATAAACCACCACCATGACCCACCACCACTACCACCCAGACCACCACAACTTCCCACTGCCACCACTACTACAGGTCCATCACAAATCTAGCATCATTGGGACCTGTAGTGTGCCAGATTACTGAGTCTGCTGGATTACAGAGTGGTTAGGTTAGAATACACTTAATAAAATTAACCAACTTGACTTACACAAAGTTCATTGAACATCAGCAAAAATCGAACATTTCCGCTACGTTGAGCTCAATTTCAAGGTACTTTTCGTCATGAAAGCAATCAAAATCATGTCTATTTCTGTAATATATCTTCCATTCTATCAAATGAGACCAAAAAAAACGAGAAAACAACCATAAAAACCATGCGAAAATATACCGAAAAGAGCCGGCTAATGGCTGAGAAGTGAACTCCCTTATTTATCGTCCGTCTTTTTTTATTTTTGTTGTACATTAAGAAGCATCTTTCCATCATACACTACCCAAGTTTCAATAAAATAGCCCAACAAACAACCGAGAAAGAAATATTTACCAAAAATCATATATGGCAAGCCCAAGCCAGGTACTGGAAATAAGTCATTTGTCTGACTTTTTTGGGTTATCCTAGGTTCTCTATACATACGCTGCTATAATGAGGGTAAATTCCTAGGCTTATACCTTGACAACAACCTGAATTTCAGCACCCATATCCAACACATAACAAAAAAAAGTATCCAAAATGGTTGGGATCCTCTCCAAGATAACGATACTACGTGCCACAAACTGCCCTTCTCACACTATACCATTCACTCATTTATCCATACCTCACCTATGCTATTTGTGCTTGGGGATCAACTGCAGCAACACACCTAAAGCCAATAATAGCCCAACAAAAAGCCGCAGTAAGAATAATCACTAAATCCCATTCCTGGCAACCCCCCCCCCCCCACTATTCATAGATCTTAACTTACTCCCTGTTCAGAACATCCACACTTACTACTGTGCAATCTACATCTACAGGACATTAAATTCCAATATTAACCCTGACCTAAATTGCTTTCTTGATAGTTGACAGAATCCACAGGCATAACACCAGACACAAACCTCTCTATGACATTCCCTGTGTCCGACTAAACCTTGCAAAAATTCAATGTATGTCAAAGGGCCTAAAATCTGAAACACCCTACCTGAAAGCTCTAGAACTGCACATATTCCTCACTTTCAAAATTACCGTCAGACAACATCTTATCTCCCTGATACACCCCGACAACTAACTGCATGAAAACCACCTGGTGGTTCATACTTACACTCACTTACTCACCCATTTGACTATAAAAACAGAAATACAAACCTTAATCATAAAATAATAAATCCTAACTAGTCATAAGTTTGCCTGTGATACTGCCAATATAGAACCTGTGTATTGTGCCAAAACAAAAGCATTCACATTGCTAAACTCACAAACTATAATGTAGTCGCTTAGCCTTAATACCAACTTACTCCATAATCTGTAATAATTTAGAGTTAAGAATTAATCTAAGTCTGCCCGAAATGCCTAGCCATGCTAGGTGTCCTAGTAGCCCCCTCTGTAATTAGTACAGTGGACCCCCGCATAACGATCACCTCCCAATGCGACCAATTATGTAAGTGTATTTATGTAAGTGCGTTTGTACATGTATGTTTGGGGGTCTGAAATGGACTAATCTACTTCACAATATTCCTTATGGGAACAAATTCGGTCAGTACTGGCACCTGAACATACTTCTGGAATGAAAAAATATCGTTAACCGGGGGTCCACTGTATTTTATAACCTGTAAACCACACAATATCCAAAACCTTTAAACCCCGCATTGTAATCTTTATAGAGAATAAACTTGATTGATTAATTGATATGTATGATAATCTATGTAACTGTATTTGTGTATACCTGAATAAACTTACTTATTTACTCATTGTACTTACTTATTTACTTATTGTACTCAGTCTGTCGACTGAGTACAAGAAACCGCCCATTCACTTATTTCAATTACCCAATAAAGTGGTCAGAAATTGGCAATTTGGCCAATTTCACACAAATTTCAACAGATGCCAATTTCAATATAGGGTCCAGAATAAACAATGCAGACATTCCTGGCACTAAAATAACATTTTCTCTGTTCATTAATCATGGCTCCAGGTCCCTCTTATATTACTCTTGCTTACCATTTGGAGTTTTTATTCACAAAAAAATAGAAGATTTACTGTTATGCAGACTGCTGCATTATTGTAATAATTGTATAAATAATGTCAACCCATTCTTGACTCCACATTGGAATTTGGACTGGTAGGCGGACAGGTATTGGACGGTGACGTCATTTGTTTACTCTTGAGCTTCGCTAAAGAATGGAACATTTTCACTACTGTGAGCACAATTTCAAGGTACTTCTCGTCATGAAAGCAATCAAAATCATATCTATTTCTGTAATATATCTTTCATTCTATCAAGTGAGACCAAAAAAAACAAGACTATAACCATAAAAACCATACAAAAATATACTGCTAAGCAGCCGCTAATGGCTGAGAAGTGAACTCCGCTATTTATGGTCTGATTTCTTTCATTTTTGGTGTACGTTAAGAAGTATCTTTCCATCATACATTGCCCATGTTTCAATAAGATAACCCAACAAACAACTGAGGAAATAATAATATAATAATAATAATAATAATAATAATAATAATAATAATAATAATAATAATAATAATATCTTTATTTACTACACGTACATGTACAAGGTATACAGGCCTAGCTGACATCAGTGACACACTACTACAGTGGACCCCCGCATAACGATTGCCTCCGAATGCGACCAATTATGTAAGTGTATTTATGTAAGTGCGTTTGTACGTGTATGTTTGGGGGTCTGAAATGGACTAATCTACTTCACAATATTTCTTATGGGAACAAATTCGGTCAGTAATGGCACCTGAACATACTTCTGGAGTGAAAAAATATCGTTAACCGGGGGTCCACTGTATATAGAAAGCCGCTTGTTATGCAGAGTATTTCAAGCAAATTAGGTCAGTGTCCCAGGATAACACCCACACCAGTCGGCTAACACCCAGGTACCCATTTACTGATGGGTGAACATAGACAACAGGTGTAAAGAAACACGCCCAATGTTTCTACCCTGGCTGGGAATCGAATATTTACGAAAAATCATACATGGCTAACCCAAGCCAGGTACTAGAAATAAGCCACGTTGTCTGACTTTTTTTTTGGGTTATCCTAGGTTCTCTACACATATGCTGCTATGTGTGATAATCTATATAGAGAAAATAACTTTTTTGTTTCAGGTTTATGGTGCAGTACGAGTGTATATCACAGTTAGCCCTGTGCTACACTCCGTTTTCTCTAATATAAGCCCCCAAGACAGGGATAGGAGAATGGTATTTGTATACCATATCCTCTTCATACCTCCATCGAACTGCTTAGTATTATGCCAAATATTATTCATTCTGGAGTATTTAACATGTTTTATGTTATTTATATTGTTTATTATGTCATATTCGATCAAATGTGATAGGCAATAAGCTGTAGTGTTTATATTAGAGTAATAACAAAGCATATTCACCTGCATCACGAGACTGAGCTCATGGCAGCCGACAGTGGCTTCAAAGCCACCTTATCTTTAATGGACAATGCACTGTGTAGGTGCTTTACACAGCAAAAAGCATTACTTTTATTCACTGGAACCATGGCTATGGCTAAATGTAAGCAGGTTATAACAAGTGGAGAAAAAGAAATTAGAATGACTTATGCAG